ATAGACCAGGTAGGATAGGGTATAGGGATAGGGATAGGGATAACATTTCTTGAACCGCCTTTGGCAAAGTAGGAAGGAACGATTGGCCATCGGTGATCGGTCCTGTGGGAACAGTGCAATGCTCCGTCCTTTCGAGTACGCGTGGTCAATGGTCTAACAACTAAGTCAAGCAAGAAATAACCCCCCTCCCTCCGTCCGCTTCCATGCAAGACATGAGTACACCCTCCCGTTCCTCCAACAGCTCGACGAGACACGAGTGATTGCCGCTATCGAAACAATCGCTACTGCTATGGGCACGACGGTCACACCATGTTATGTAGCGTGCTGAACTTGTTGCGGTGCAACAACTACCAGTACAACTTACCGCTGTCGAGAAAGAAAAAACTGAACTTTTTTTTTTGTTCCTTTTGGTCGACCGCGTACACGGCGTGTTCTGCAGCGTGCTGGACTTCTTGCGGCACCACAACGCGGACCCCGGCGGGCCCCTCGGCATGAAGCGCGAGGCGCTCGACAACTTCACCAGAAGCTGCGCCGGCAGCTGCGTGGTGACGTACCTCCTCGGGGTGGGAGACCGTCACCTGGACAACCTCATGCTGCTGCCGGAGGGGGTGTTGTTCCACATCGACTTCGGGTGAGAAGAGGACAGAAGAGAAGAGAAGAAGCACACACGCGAGTGGTGGCGCGACAGATGGGTGTGGTACGGGGCGGTGATTGTTTGGGAGTCAAACCAAGGATTTGACCGTACCTTCTTGAGATTTTTGGTGTTTGTGTGTGTGTTTTTTTTTTTTTTTTTTGTTCTCGGTTACTGTGTACCGTGCAAGAGAGAGAGAGAGGCAGAAGCAAGCACACACGAGTGGCACGACGGATAGGTGTTGTACGGCGCCAAGCTATGTGCACGCTATGTGCAAGCTATGCAGTGGCTCCTCTGTAAACGTTCAGGAGTCAATCCAGGGTTGGACCTTTACACGTCTTGAGATTTGTTAATGCCATTCACGGTACCTCTTTTGTTTGTGGGTTGTTCTCGATATGCTGCTGTGTACCGTGCAACTTCTTATTTCGTTCCGTCGCACGGATACGCGGCGCAAATAGGTACTTGTTCGGCAAGGACCCGAAGCTCATGCCACCACCCTTCCGGTTAACGAAGGAGATGGTTGAGGCCATGGGGGGAACCGAGGCGCCGCACTACACGGTCTTCAAGTCGCTCTGCTGCCAGGTATGTATGAACAAGGCCGACGCTCCTCAAAATCGAGCGTGGGTAGAAGTGTTGGACGTGTGTTTTGGGTGCGTGGCGTGTTTTCTCTTGTGGTTTATGGTCGCCACCACCGTCCTTTCAAGCGCCGCGTGACATGTGACAACAGTGCTTGCCCTCTAGATGAGTCGGTGAGTGCACCTGGCTATAGTGTTTGCTCTCCAAATGAGCTGTTGAGAATAGGTGATTCCTGCCGCAGAGTGCGTGGTTGGGCTGTGCAGGCGGCAAGGCTCTACAAGGATTTTTGACCTTATTTATTTATTTTTTGTCCCTTGATTTCGTCCCGAGCCTGGTTTTTGTTTCTGTTCTGGGACGCGCATCATGTCCCGTCCATGCCGCAACTTTATTCGAGCGAAGCGGGATTTCTGATCTTGCCTGAGGAGACAGCGCAATGTAGGCTCCATCCAGAAAAAATAGTTTGTACGGTTTGTTCGCTTAATCTAGGTTAAGGTACATGACCTGATTGTAGACTAAAGGGGTCAGCAGATGCACTTTTTTTTTTCGGAGCACACTGTCAGCGGATTGCAGCAGAGAACACACGCACTGCGGGCGACACCACACAGCAGACAAAACACGCACAGCAGACAGCATACGCATAACAGGCGACACACACACAGCGGGCGACAGCATCTGGGCTCGATGCCGCTGGACTCTCTGTGGTGTGATGAGGCTAGGTATTGCTGTGTCGCGCATGTTTTGTTTTTTACCGCCGCGTGCAACTGCCAGCAATGTGAGCACAGCACCACGTTAGTTCTCGAAACCTAGGACGCCGATCGCCATCGCACCACTTCGAGCGTGTGCTCCATTGTGTTGGGCATGGGTGCTGTATGTGGCGAGAGCATCGTGGCGATGTGAAATCCGGTTTGGCTTTTTCGCCTGGCGATGCGGCCTGATTGCCCGGGCCGAAAAAATGATTTGGATTCCACGCCGTCACGAACACCTTCCCACACACAGCACCCATGCCTAACACAACTGTCACGCCCCGAGATATCGCAATGGAGCACACGCTCGAAGTGGTGCCATGACGATTGGTGCGCTAGGTGACGAGAACTGACTTGTGTCCTGCTGTTTCGCTGGCAGTTGGAAAAACACCGAACGAAATAAGAGGGAACAAGGGGTTCATCCCTAGTATGCGGGGGGTATGTATGACCACGAAAGCGGGATGTGGACGGGGGGGGGGTGTACTCATAGTCGTGCATGCCGTAGTCGTGCATGCCGTAGTCGTTAGACCATTGACCTCGCATCCCGACAAAGCCGGGACGGAGCACGCCGGGTTCTCACCGGACCAGGCTCTCACATCACCAAGCGCGAAGCGCCGTGAGGTATTCGGCGAGTCGCATGAAGGGTGAGCTGCATCCTGCTAAGGGTGTTCGGCATCTTGTGCTTACTTCCTTGCGTACGGATGACAGCTGCGTATGACTTAATTTATTTTCTGGTGCTTTCACTTCCAGAGACAGTTGTAAGCACTGTGTAACTGCCTCGAGGACGCTTGACCATTTTAACACAACGTGGTGCGATCATCCCCCGTTGCGCGGAGTGAGGGTTCTCGACCCCGCACAACATGATCTACTCGACCACCATTATGGTTACCGCCAAAAAAAAAAACGAGGTAAAAAAAAAAAACGGTGACCTGGTTGCCGAGTTCACGAAGTGAATTGGCTTGTTTTACAACATCGTTGCCAAGCGACGAAAACCCAATCCCGATGGCAAACACCGAGGGGGGGGCGGCATGTTTTACAACGTCGTTGCCAAGCGACGAAAACCCAACCCCGATGGCAAACACCGAGGGTGGGGGGGGGGGGGTAACCGGTAGGTGAAAGTTAAAGTTACCACAGCTCTCACACCAGCACAGCAGGGAGGTGTAGTTTCAAGTGTGTGGTGTTCGCACTCTGTTTCCGCCCATGGACACACACGTCTGACGACAGTTACACACACCTATCAGCTGTCGCTCGTTCGTTGTAGCGACAGCTAGGATAATCTTTTTGTTTGTCTGCATCGCGCCGAAGACAACAAATCACCTTGGACCCCCCCCATCCTACCGACTCTGTGCTGTTCTTATGAAGGCATACCGACATCTCCGCAAGTCGGCGCACCAGTACCTGAACCTGCTGTCTCTCATGTCGGGGGCGGGCATCAAGGACCTTGCGGACGACCCCGCGGCGGTGCTGCAGCTGGTGAGAGACAGGCCACACCTGTCACAGAGGAGAGGATAGGAGGCAGACTTTTTAGCGATGGCCTACATGGGGCGTATCGTAGAATGTATCGACCTACACAAAATTGTAGTTGTGCTTTGGCACCAGCTGGTATCACAGGGAGTGTACGTGTCTAGACTTAAAAAAAATGGCTCACGATATGCCCATTTTCCAGCCGGTTTCCCTTGACTCGCTGACTTCAGCGCATCCCTTTCGACTGTGGTTGAAAAACATATACACAAACACAGAGACTACCTGTTGGAGGTAAAACCACAGCAGTCGAAGTGTATGATGTGTTAAACGTCTTTGCAGTGAACCGGCTGGATATTCTGGGCCTGTGAGGGAATGGAAGAGAAATTATGGCGGAGTCCGAGGCTGGCGTATAGAGACAAGAGGCGGCATATGTAGGCAGGGAGTACGGGGAGAGGGAGAGGCAGCGATGGGTTAGAGAGCAATGGAGAAAGATAGCAAGTCGTTTTTGTCGGGCCACAGCTTTTCCATGCTGGTACAGTCAGTAAGTGTCGTGAAACCCAAAAGCTATGGCGAGCTGAATCTAGTCAAAGTGGACCGACCAATCTGTGGCCCTTGTGCCAAGCTTCGTGTCCACCAACCTCTGCTTTTTTTTCTATTCGTCAGCGTGTTACAACCCCGGCTGGCGCCCACAAGTAGGTACGGACGGTTGTTGACATGTCTTTGTTGCTGGTGTTTGGGTTGGCTCCAGCGGCACGCCACGCACACTATCCTCCTCCTGAATGTTTTCCTATCGTCGTCGTCTTCCTTGTCGTTGCTCTCTGTTGTGCTGCTGCTGCTGCTGCTGCTACCGCTGTGTAATCAGGTGCAAGACCGGTTCAAGCTGGACCTCACGGACGAGCAGGCCGACGCGCACTTCCTCTCGCTCGTGTCGCAGAGCATGACCGCCCTGGCGCCGAGGGTACTGGAGGTCATGCACCAGATCAGAGTCGCCGCAAGATAACCTTTATGCCATCCCCCTATTAATAGTTCCCCCTCCCTCCAGAGACCCAGGTGTCTGTTGGAGGTAGCGGCTGTTTGTTTCACATCAAAGTTCTTGTATGTTCCATTTTTTTTCGTGAGAGATAAGAGAGAGCCAAGCTTTTATTTGCCTTTGGAGTAGAAGCCACTTGCTGTACCTGTTAAATAGTGGTGAGAGGCGTTTTTGCCCGTGTGCGGGGGAGGGCGTTCCAGGCCCAACCCGTCGCACCCAACGGACGGGTAGTGCACCGCCTCTTCCCTCCCATCGACTGCTGTTGTCGTACTTCGTACAAAAGATTTTAGTGTCCGTCGGCTGGATGTGCCGTCCTTGAGAGGAACGGGGCGACGGGTCCGGTCATGCTGATTGTCGGCTGGATTGTGGGTTCTTTATTTTCCTCGTGTAGCGGAGAGCTGTGCGTGCGTGCGTGCGTGCGTGTCGGCTGGGTTTTGGATTCGTTTTCTTCCTCGTGTAGCGGAGAGCTGTGCGTGCGTGCGTGCGTGCTTGCGTGTTGCTACAACGCGAAGGTCCTCTCTCACGCCTGCACGGGGACCGTCGAGAAGAAGGAGTAGGGGGGTTGATTTGAGGCCCCGGGCGATTCCTGGGTTTCTGCGAAAGGTTTGAGGAGAGAAGACGGATGGATGAAGCCTTGGGCTGGCTTTTTTCTTTTTGTCATCTGCTTCCTAGTCGAGAGTTGCGTCTCGCCGGTGGTTTCGTGTCACCTAGACTAGAGGGCGTTTTGTTTTCGTTGTTGGTGCTTGAAGGAAGGATTATGAGGAAGTTGTGGCAACGCGGGGAGCGTTTTTTGTGTACCGGTAAGTCGTGGAGAGGTGTGTGCTGATGCAGCAGAGTGGGAGGGCAGGGGGCGGGGGGCAGGAGAATGCTTGACGTCCAGCAAGCAATGAGTTGCTAGGCTCAGTTTTTGACGCGCGGTCCTGTTGTTGTATGCGAAAGTAAGAGTGCATGAAAGGACGTGCGCATTGTGTGTTGGATGGGTTTCGACGTCGTTGTGTTTTTGCCTCAGCCAACCTCTACCGTCTGCCTTGCGTATGCTGTCGATTTGTCATCATTAGGCTTAATAGGTAAACGATACTACGATGCCTAGGGTTGAACACGTTATTGCAGAGAGATGTTCGCAAGACGTTTTGCTCCACGTAAGTTCCCGGTTTTCGGTATACCTGCGTAATATAGTAGGTAGAGCGCACCGGCGCTTGCCTGAATCCAGGTTTTGTAAGGTTTAATCACAGTCCGCCGTCTAATGTCTGCAGCTGAAAGCTCGTCATGCCGGTTTCCCCTGTACACCAACCCTTTTGTGTGTGTGTGTGTGTGTTTCGGCTCGTCCGTCTTTCCCCCCGTATTTAATCTGGGTGTCCAGCATCGACTGACAGCAGCACTGCCGTAGTGTTGTAGCGGTAGGTGCGCGAGCGGGCTGGACGCTTTCGTTTGGCACCCCGTTATTTACCGCATCCTCACCCATATCCAGCTCCGTAGATAGACCGGCAAACTACAGGGCACAAACTAACGCGTTCGCGCTGTAGCCATCGGTGTTTCGGGGTACAAGTAAATGAAGTGTTTCCCCACCAAATCTTTCCAAAGACTGTTGATCGCTCCTACGCTTTGCTTGCTGACCTTTTCACTACCTACCCCCGTCTACGACAGAGAAAAGGATTTAAAGGTTTTGTGGCACGCAATTCGCTGAATGGGGAAAAGCTCGTTGCCGTGAACGAGCTGTGGGCGAGGTGCAATGGGCGCGCTTTTTTTCTTTGTCAGTCAACGTCACGGCGTGCCGGTTCTTCTCGTGATGATCACACCCAGGGTTAAGGATAGAGCCTTGTTTCTTTTCGGCCGAGTGAGGCTTGTCGATCAAACCTCAAGCCATCGTCTGTGATCCCGTCGGCTTTTCACACGGAGGAAGCACGGCCGACAGATGAGCTGCGGCGGCAAAGGCGGCTTTTTTCGCTGTTTTTTTCTCGCCCATCCCCCGTTCTTTGAAAAAAACGCTCTTCACCTGACCCCCGCCGTCCACACAACTTATTTGCCAGAGAGTGAGAGAAACAAAAGGCGCCCGCAGTTTTCTGATTGGCCATTTTTTTTTAAGGAAATCTGTTTGGTCGTTAGATTCCATCGTCGAGCCCTACTCCTAGTTCTAGACTACAAGACCACCCCAAGTCTCCAAAAACAAACAATATAAAGTGTAGCGCAACAAGCGTTGGGAGGTTTCAGACAGCCCCCTTTCCCCCCACACCATAACGCCTGTCTGTATACACAACCCGTGGAAGGTAGAGAGAGTAGAGAGAGGAGGTTGCACAGGGGCGATGCATGGATCGCGTGTACAGACGTCACGACGACAACATGCTCTTGATCTCCACAACGCCACTCCTTTTCTGTACACTTTCCCTCCGAGAGACCGATGATGATATTAGATGGGTTCTCTCAATTTCACCGTTCCACAGAAATAAAAAAATTGTGTGTGGCCACATTCTGTCGGCAGCTCCGAATCACGCAATTTCTTTTTTTGCCGACCCCCATATACCGTCGAATACCTCACGGCGCTTCGCGCTTGGTGATTGATGTGAGAGCCTGGTCCGGTGAGAACCCGGCGTGCTCCGTCCCGGCTTTGTAGGGATGCGAGGTCAATGGTCTAACGACTACGGCATGCACGACTATGAGTACACCCCCCCCATACCGTCGCATTCCTGCATGCATCATCCTCTTCACTTTACAGTGACCCCGCCGTAGACGACACGTCATGTCGACCAGGGATTTTTGGTCAATCCGAAAAAAATGTCCTTGACAAAAAAAATTGGCCAATCAGAAAACTGCGGGCACCTTTTCGTCGGCAGATCCGAACCATGCTCTCTATTTTTTCCACCACCACCCTACCAAATTTAATAGGCGGGAAGTGATGTTGATAAGATAGATAGGCTAGGGAAAACAGTTTAGAGAGCCACCTTTGGCAAAGTAGGGAGGAACGATTTCCTGGCGTTCCTGTGGGAACAAGGCTCCGTCCTCTTGAGAACGCGTGCTCAATGGTCTATCCGATGAGGCATGCCAAACATAAGAGTACGCTCCCCTATTCCCCAAGTGGAGTAGTCGCCTCCGTGCATGCATGCATGCATGCATACCGCATGAAAACCCCCATGTCTAGATCTACTTGACTATATCATCCAGAAGACTCACCACAAGCCTAGACTACTGGACTACATCGTCTAGACTACTTGACAATATCATCTAGACGACTTCACCGCATTGCCTAGACTACTTGACTACGAGATTAACAACAATCTAGACTTTGTTAGATTACTTGACTAGGCGGTACTCTCCATCTGCGTGCTCCAGCTTCCCGTCCGAGCACAGGCGCCACAGCAGCTGCTGCAGCTCGGGCAGCGACTTGTCGTACTTGTTGTCCCCCCCCGACATGAACATCTTGAGATTGTTGTGGATCCGGTCCAGCGGTAGCTTCGAGAAGTTCGTCAGCATCCCTGGATGGTTGAGAGTTCCAACCACCATTTTGTTGTTATAAAGGTACATTTTGTTGGGGAGCAGAACGGGGGATGGAGGTCAGTCTCTTAGTGCCTACTATAATAGCCCTTCCATCACGTATTCATCCCTTTTCGAGACAGATCGACAAGGCCCGTTGCTGGACATACCGCCTCTTTTGTTGTGCTCTTGCCCCTTTCCGTAAAGAAGACTAGTATGTTTGACTTTTTTTGGGTAAGTTACCCTGTCTGTGACCACGGGAATCGACCCCGTCATGTGTTAGACTACCGGGTAGAGAGATCGGAACGGTTTTTATTATAAAGACAACAATACATACGAGCAAAGACTAACCGTTCGAGAAATACCCAGTACAAGGGGGTTATATCGAAGTCTTCAAATTTAGCATTCTTTTTGAGTAGGCATGACGTGGCTGGGGGAGTGGGCCTCTCTCGCACGGTCGATTCTCTCCTGAAGTCGTTCCATTTGTTTCGACGGAAGAGCACGCCACGTGCAAAAGTTCTTCACTCACATATATACTTCATCCCAAGTTGCGTTTGAGTAAAAAGCGTGTCGCTCTCGCGGACGCAAGCATGGATGAGGAGGAAGGGGTATCGACTACTAACACAAGCGAAGAACATGCTGGACTCTTGTCTTCACGATTAACAGCAAACAAGAGTGCTCCGTCCGAGACAAATGGTCAGAACGAGGTGAGACGCCAACTGCCGGTCGCGGCGGGAGCTGCTGCAGCATCAACGCTGAGGTTGGTTGATATGTACCGATAGATAACGTCCAGCGGTATCTCGGTCCAAGCCAATTCGGGGAAAGAATACGGTAATGGCGGAGGGTGTTGTTGACATGTCTTCACATTCCATTGATTGTGCAGAGAGAGAGGGAGGGAAAACATGAACTCTCGAGGGTTCGAGCCCCGCAGGCAGAAGAAGAACCAATCAGAACACGAGCCGAGCCGATCGACCAAAGGCCAGCCAATCGTCAGCAATCATCATCAACCATAATCATCTCCCACCTGTGAGGAATTGCACGATGATCTTGTCCGACTCGGCATCATTCGCGTCTGCCGACACGGCCGCTTCCGTGTTGTCCTCGAGGACCATCGACTCCATACCCTCCCCTCCCGATCGATTTTGAGTCTTGTTGCGAACAAACAAGAAACGAAAAAAAGCAGAAGCAGTTGACGAAATGAAGGGCACGCCATGCAAGCAAACTAGGGTTGAGCAGTAGCAAAAAACAGATGACTCATGGAGGGCACGCCATGCACGCAAACTAAGTAGGGCTTGAGCAGCAGCAACAGCAGGCGCGGGTTGGGTGTCACGCGGAGGAGACAAAACACACACACAACACAAACGGGAGAGGCAAGCACAACAGAAACAGCAGCCGCACACAGCAGCTCGCCTTTGGGCAAATGTGCTGCTCTTGCTAGAAATGAACTCATGAACCTTCGATACGGGCATGTGTCCTCCCCCAAAGCCAATCAAATTACCGTCGTGGCTCCGATACCAGAGGGTGGTGTGACAAAGGCCCTCGACCCTCTTACATCGTAGCCCCCTCTCATACCGGACGAAGAGGGTACCCAACTATATACTATGGCGGGACAAGTCCGTGACAAACGATTTCCACCCTCTTATATCGAAGCCCTTCTTAAAAGGTACCGCCCTCTTACATCGCAGCCACGATTGTATTAAAAAAAAAACACGCACACGGTTTTTGGGCATCAGGACTAACGCACACGCCCTCCCCGAAACCAAGAAACAAAACACACACACACCAATTACATCAACGCCCCACTCAAAAGGGATCAGCACAAAGCACACCTGGTCTTTGACGAGGCGGTACACCGGGCCGGGGTTGCTCTCGGAAACCACCCCCTGGTTGACCCAGAGCATCATCCTCTTCTGCACCACAGAGGGGGGAAGCTCCACCTCCCGAGCCAGATCGGACAACCGCCAAGTCTGTCAAAGTGTTGCGCATGTGTGTTGAGGACAAGGATGGTGTGATGTGATGTGATGTGATGTGATGTGGTGTGGTGTGATGTGGTGTGATGTGATGGTGTGGGGGTTGTGTGAAGAAGAGTCTAGAGCAATCAGTGAGATCGTTCTTTCTCTCGCGAAAGAAGTAAAGCTCAACCATGCCACTCTTTACGCTCTGTCTCTATCTTTGTCTCTGTCTGTCTCTGTCTCTGTCTGTCTGCCTCTGCCTCTGCCTCTGTCTCTCTGTCTCTCTGTCTCTCTGTCTCTCTCTGTCCCTCTCTCTCTCTCTCTCTCTGTCTCTCTCTGTCTCTCTCTCTCTCTGTCTCTCTCTCTCTCTCTCTCTCTCTCTCT